ACTTTGACGCACCTTTATACCTAAGGATAAGAGGTAATCCCAAGCTTCTATGTCTAACATTCATTCACTCTTTGACCTGTCGTCCCTGACATTGAAATATCAATTAAATGAATTTATTTTACATAAACAAAGCGCATTATAAAATATTTGACCACTGAAAATAGTTACTACGGGAACACAAAAAAAAAATGTAAAACTTCTCCGTGAAATGCTGTTTAAAAATCACGTATCAAGTTTTTTTTTTCATTTTGTTTCATATCTGTCATAGTTTGATCCGATATATCCATTGTAGATTCCATTCTTTAGGCAGATTCTAACTACGCGCGTATAAAAATAAATTTTGAAAAAAAATTAAAAGCAATTTCTAAGATTATTTTGTTATTAAATTTGCATCACCGTGAAGATTCCCAGGCAGTAATATTTTTGTATACATCTATGGGCTTTATTCAACGAGCAAAGGGTATAACATGAAGTGCGTCCCAATTTTTTTTGGAAAGCTCTCTCGTCCGTATTATAGCTAGCAGTAACAACAATTCAAAATCCTTTAATTAAAATCAAGGATTAAGGAATACATATCGACGGAAATGAATGAGTGACATGGTTTTTCATGATAGCGAAATTCTTCGCGATCTTACAATACTGGAAAGTAAATTGAGTGACGCTGATGTTCGTTACGTAGACGTCACAAAGCATTATATTTATATTACATATTTTGACTTGCTCTCTTATAAAAGAAGAAATGTTATCAACACACTGACCTACCTTACCACAACTCTCGATTTTTTCCTGCTACACCTGGCACACTACATTTATCATATGAGCACTTAATTTGAAAACAGACGGACCAAACGTGCTGAGGAACAATGCTATACTTGCTCAGTAGGTACTTTTATTTACATCGTACCATGGTCGTTGAAATATTCATGGGCAATATTCAATAAACAAAATGCTAAATTATTTCCGTATATTTATAGACAGTTTTGAGTTACTCATATTCATGTAATATTCCGTTGATTCTAGATTCACGTACGCGCTTGTTCCGGAAGTTGTTGTATCCATTATACAACTTCTTCCCGTTCAAGTGATTGTACACGCGTTAAGGAATACCTCAGTACCGATTGCCGGGTGGCGGTACAAGTCCGCCAACGGGCCACTTTAGGTCTATTTAATATCACTAACACGTAAAAAGAAGGTGGTAGACAAGGACCAGTCGACCGAGGCGGTACCACCGGCTAGCTTTTCCCAGAGTGTCTTATAAATGTCTGCATATTTCCACACCTAAGCTATGCAGTTGATTATCCTCCAAAACAAAGAAATTAGTGATGATAGATCCCTCGAGCACTAAGAACCCCGGACGTAAACTCACCCCACTCTCGGAATGTCCGGGTGGAGGGTGGGCTCGAGGGAACAACATCGAAGATAAAATTTGTTTTGCGAACATCTGTGTGATTAACATCAACATTGATGCTGTTCATCACTACCTGCAATCCAATCGTCCCGCCGTGCTTTTCTTGGCGGAGACAAAAATCTCAGAGTCTGCACCGATTGACCATCTCAACTTCCCAAACTACGAGGTGCACTCCAATCTGAGAAAGAACGGGTGAGTTGTGGCTTTTGTCCGCAGCAGTCTTTCCTGCTCCAGAGATGTTTCTTTGGAATGAGACCGGAAGGACATTCTGTGGCTTCGCCTCAACTCCAAACCATCACCTAAATTTATTTGCTGCCTTTACCGCTCTCCCTCAGACCATAAGCAAACAAGACCGATGCAGCAGGTCGTGCAGTCGAAGCGTTCGCTCTTACTCAAGGGCTGTCCCAGATGGTGACGAGCCCTACTTTTTTCCTCCGCGTGTCGTCACACCCCAGTAGCCTAATGGCTCCCTTTTTGACCACGCATCCTGCCCTCACAGCACTTCTGTCCTGTCCTCCCTGGCTAACTCAGACCACGGTGTTGTGGAGGTTAGGTTTCGGTCAGAACCCGCTGTGGCAGCAAAAAACTCATACAGGCCGCAAAACTTGGCATTACGGCATGCCGACTGGGAGGGGCTCAGAGACTTCATCTCTAGGTTTCCTTGGAGAGATGTCTGTTTCATTGACGCGGATGCGTCGGCTGTCTGTTCTTCGATAACAGAAATTATCCACGTCGGAATGGAGGAATACATCCCTCACACAGTGAAAATGCCTTAACCATGGTCCAACGGCTGGTTTAACAAATCGAGTGACACTGCTCGCCAGCAGAAGATCAACGCACACAGTACCTTCTTACAAAACCCCAGTGTAGAGAACAGAAAAGCCGACGTCGAGTCCAGAAACAAATCTAACGAAGCGGTTCGCAATGCCAAAAACCACCACGATATAAAAGTTAGGCACAGGGTAATGTCGCAGCGCAATGGCAGTCGGTCTTTCTGGACGCTGGCCAAGCAGATTGAAAAGAACTTCTCACACAGTAGCCTTCCACCACCTACGTGTCAGGATGGAACTATTGTATTCGACTCAAAGGTCAAGGCGGAAGTGCTAGCCAAGATCTTTGCTGCCAACTCCACCTTGGACGTCCCCCCTTCCAATGCCCAAGTGCCGTCAATTCACAGGGTTCCCTACACTATGCAGGAGGTAACATTCAGGTACAAGACCATAAGACGAGTGCTCTTGTCTCTTGACAGCAAAAAAGCTTCTGGTCCGGACTTGATTCCTGCCTTGTACTGAAGAGGTGTGCAGCGGAACTTGCTCCAGTTCTTTCGCGTCTCTTCCAGATATCTTATGATCCGGCACCTTCTCAGAAAACTGGAAATTTGCTCATGTCCAACCCATCCCAAAAAAGGATCTAAGACCTACCCTTACAACTACAGGCCTATAGCTCTGCTTTCTGTTATAAGTAAGGCGATGGAGAGGTGCATAAATCGTGAGCTTCTGGACTATCTCGAACGTCACAGCTTGATTAGCGACAGGCAGTATGGTTTCCGGTACCAACGATCCACAGGGGACCTCCTAGCTTACGACACGCAATTGTGGAGTAAACTCATCCAGTCTTATGGTGAGGCCCATGTCGTTGCTCTTGACATCACGAAAGCATTCGATCAGCTGTGGCACGCTGACCTCTTAAGCAAACTTCCATCCTATGGCCTCCCAGAAAAGCTTTGCAGATGGGTGGCTGACTTTATCTCTGGCCGCAAGATATCCATCGTAATTGACGGGTTCTCCTCTTTATCCCACAACGTCAACGCGGGTGTTCCCCAGGGATCGGTCTTGGTTCCAACACTGTTTCTCTTACATATCAATGACCTCCTTTCCTGCACGATCAACCCAATCCACGTCTTCGCTGATGACAGCACTCTAGATGCAGGAATTCAGAGTGACAAGCCGATCTCTGCCGCTGAGCTGGAAAAAAGAAGTCTATCGACGACTTCCTCTCTGACAAGAGACCTGGAGGCTATCACTGCTCGGGGACGCAACAATCTTCCAAAACACGGTACTGTACTTTGACGAACAAAAAGCGTCCTAGCGCTCATCTAGTTTCGATGGACGGCCGAGTTCTTTATCTACATCCAGAACTGGCCGATACGACCGCTCCTTTGTCCCGAGGGTGTCTAGATTGTGGAACAATCAACGGGAGGAAGCATTTCCCAGTTCTACTAACCTTAGGCAGTTCAAAGGTCGTATTAACAAAATTTCTTTGGGATCATCATAGCAGCCGCGGTGTTCCGGCATTTAGGCTTCTGCCTGCGCGGCTGCTTCGATATATATATAAAAAAAAGTTCTGGAGGATTCTCTGCCAGATAATGCAAATTCCCATATAATCATATGTAAAAAAAACGTATGTCCGTAGTTCTTGCATAACTCATTTGTTTTTACAGATAATAACAAGTTTGGGCATAGGGCTTAGAGGAAATAATCCTTATCCGATTTTTTCAACAGAAATTTTTATAGGAAAAATATGTTGAATTCATAATTGTACAGGGTAGCCAACTAAGAATGCGAGGTACTGTTTCTGGGAACCTATTCATCGAAGAGGCATGAGGCAAAAAAAATTATTACTAAAACGGCCAAGGGAAGAACCTGGAAAATATTTACAAGTTTCTGAAATGGCCGCTAGGTGGCGCAACTGCAATCTTGACGTGATGTTCTTGAGAAGTCCGCAATATTAACGTAACAAAAAAATGCCTGATTCTTAAAGTCGGGGATAATGTAAACAATCTGTATCTCTGAAAATAAAGTGGTGGGGGTATTCTAAGGTTTCCGTTAAAAACACCCTGTATCTTCGAAAACGCAGAGCCGATTTTAACAAACTTGGGCTAGTTGAAAAGGGTTATTCTTGGGCTACAAATTTTTTAATATGTGAAGTTCTGTTAGTTTCACTGGTAGCTAGTAGAGGACTTTATTTGACATTCCCACTGAAATGGTTGATATTGTCAAAAAAATTGGATGCATTGGTATAATTTTTTTCATGAAAAAGTAGCTAAGTAATGTCTAAACAAGCTGGCAAAAACCGCATCTCGATATCTTGTTCTTAACCTGAAATTTAGACCTAAGAAAATTTTATGCGGAAATCCCTCAAATTTTTATTTTTTCAAATTAATGTTTCTGGAATTTCTTTACACCCCCGTAAATGCTCGAAATGCTGACAATCACGCTCTATGCATTCCTGAAGCCTCTCATGGGTAGAGAAAACTGCAGCTTCAATTTGGGCTCTCGGTATGTTACGAATGGCATTACGAATCCGTTTCTCTGGTTGTAGGATGAGTCTGAAACACGATTTCCTTTAACACTGTTACAACGTTTCACAGATTTTCAGACAATGTTACACATTTGGTATTAGTGATAAACCTTCTATTATTAATAAGCTGGTGTTCTCAGTGACACTATGCACCTGTTAGACATAATAAGTCACACATATTTTCTCTATATCTGCCCTGGAAAGAGAAATATAATAGATTTGAAGCAAACCTACTTAAACACGATTCGGTTTTGCCTTTTGACTCATCATCTATTTGACGTCTTTTTTTCAGAAACAGACACCGTCGTAGCTCCCTCTTCTGTCCAGTGTGCGGGTGCGAGCTTCAGCGGCGCCCATCGGTGGACAGCGCACTTTCCGCCAGTGGCGTAGGCAGGTGGGCGACATGTTCGCGATGCCAGCGGCGTGCGTGCAAAGGGCGCTGCGCCCAGTTCCGCGCTGGAGAAGGCTGGGTGTGCGGTGAATGCGCAAGGCCACCGGAACTGGGCGAAAAGGTGACCGGAGGTTGGCTCAGGGACATTATGGAGACACTAGTGGCGCCACAGACAGCACCTGATGGAATGGGTAAGTGGGGTTCAGGTCCGGCTTATCGTAAAATCTTCAACTTTACTTTAAAAGGAAAATAGCGCATCCGTGAGGGATACTTAAGTGGAGATTTAACATCAGAATCTTCATAATAATATTTTCAAGACTTCAAAATTTGCAATGTTTCACAAAATAAGTTAAGTATCAAGTTATCAAAAGCTTCCCCAGAATATTGATAATGTTCAAAATTCAAAATTCTATGTACTCGTATTATCAAAATTCTGAAAGTTTAAAGTTACATAGCGTTTGTTTCTACAATTTATTATCGACTTTTCTTATTTTCAAAAATTGCAGATTTTTAAGGAATATTCGTTTTTAAGCTCTTCAGATTTTGAAAATATTGTTTTTTTTTGAAAATTTTTAATACTGATGAATTTTAATATGATTTTGAATTTGAAAATTTTTGGAAGTGAAACTTTTGAAAGCAATCAAAGCTATCAGAATCTTTAAGATATACAATAATATGAAAACTTGGAAATTTTGAATGTTTCACACATTTTTTACTATTAGACCGCTAGATGGCTGACGAAACTGGGTGTAAGTTAGATGGATGTGGACTACTTGTTATCGAAAAAACTAAAAATGATGCTTTCGTCCGACCGACCAAAAGGCAGACAACCATGGACAGCTGTTTCGTGCTTCTTGGCTACTCATCAGCATGGTCAAGTCTTGGTCTCTCGTTCCTGGACCACGTTCGGCTAAGCTATGTTGACGAGTAGCCAAGAAGCTGTCCTTGGTTGGCTTTCTTTTGGTTTAGTTTAATTTTTTTCAAGTTTTCAAAAATTTTGAAATCACCAGAATATTAAAAATGTTCAAAATGTAAAACTTCCTGTATTATCAAAATTGTTAAAGCTTAAAATTTAAAAAAATTTCAAAAGTTCCAAGGTTTTTGTTTCTAAAATTATCAAAATTTTCAAATTCTCAAAAATTCCTAGTATTTCAAAAATTTTTATTAATATGAGTAACATGATATGCGAATACTTAAGGGTGTGAATCTACATGAAAATTAATGTTAGTTTGCTCTATAAACTATGGTCCAAAAATGTTTCCATACAAAAACTCGGGGTGTTGAAGTTTTAGGAAAAAAATTAAAATTAATTAATATTTTCCGTACCGCTTCAGATATTTCACTGATCTTTAGTACATAGTGGAAGTTAACAAAGTTGCATATTTTTCAGTGCAAAAAAATGTTTAGCTTGAACAGTGGCGTGCGTACGGGTATTGATTTTTTAAGAAAAAAATGGTACGCCAATGGTTTTTTGTCAAATAAAAATTATTTTTGAATTTTCCGTAAAATTTAAAACTAATGATCTCTCTTGAAATGTTTTCTCTAGCTTGAGTAAAAAAATAAAAACCGTTCTATTGTCTAACATGCAAAATTATTATTAATTTTATTGGAAAAAAAATGATTTATCCGATCTGATTTAGGTGGCATAACATGAAAATAATCATTATTACGTCTACATTCTTGGTGGCACATAAAATCTGAATTTTGACAATAAACTGAAATTATCAATAATATAACAAAAAATCCACTAAAATTCTCCAAACAATTTGATGGAAAACATTTAAGTGTCTAGCGATCTTCCTCGTACTCGTTTCAGGATGTTCTTAGACTTCGTGCAGCACTGCTTCTTCAATTTCAGGTGTTCTCACACTTAGTGGTCTACCTTCAGATGTTCCTTTTTGGGCAGAACCAGTTTCAACAAGACGAAGACGAATATTAGAAAAGGTTCGACTATCTGGCAAAGCACGATCGGGATATCTCTGGTGATAAATCCGTCTGGCTTGCTCACCATTACCGTCGGCAAGGCCATATACGTAATGCATGCATTTGAATAATTCACCATTATTAACAAGATTGTAAAAACTAAATAATGAAAAAGATGTCACAGCGAACAGATCTGATTAATAGAGACTTGTCACATGTCAAAAGCCAGTGACATATTCCAGAGCAACTAGATATTTATTGCTAAATTGCATTCTTCAATTATTACATTAATTTTCTCGGACAATAGAACGGTTATTATTTTTTTACTCAAAAATGGCGCATCGAAGGAAAACAATTCAAGAGAGATCATTATTTTTAAAATGAACGGGAAATTCAAAAATTATTTTTATTTGGCAAGAAACCATTGGAGTATCATTTTTTCGTAAAAAATATCGAAGTCAATACCCGTACGCACGCCACTGTTGAAGCTAAAAATTATTTTGCATTGAAAAATATGCAACTTTATTAACTTTCACTACTTACTAAATATCAGTGAAATATCTGAAGCGGTTCTGACAATATTAATTAATTTCCATTTTTTTCCTAAAACTTCAACACCCCGAGTTTTTGTAAGGAAACATTTTAGGACCATAGTTTATAAAACAAACTAACACTAATTTTCCATGTAGATTCACACCCTTAAATATTTGCATATCATTAAGGAACACCTTGTATAATAAGAGTTTTTAAGTTCTTCAAATTTTAAAAATATCGATTTTTCGAGAAGTTTGAAAACTGAAGAATTATAATATTCGGATTTTCTATGAAACTGAAATTTTCGAAAATATTGCAAATTATCAAACTTTTGGTAATTTCAAAAATCTTGAAAGCTTTGCAAGTTTGAAAAATTTCAAATACTGCAACATTTAATTGGAAATTTTGCAAAATGAGGTATCTAACATTTTAGGGAACCTAAAAATTTTGAAAACTTGCAAAACTTTTGTGAACTTGGCAAATTCTGAATTCTGTGATGACAACTTAATCTTCACTTGAGGGTTACCCATTGAGGCGTTATTGTTCGTTAATTATGTACTCTCGCTATTCCAATAAATCCAGTTCGAATGCCTTCAAATTCCTTCCAGGAATGGATGCTGAGGAAGATGAGGATAAAAGGAGAAGAGATAGAGCGGAAGTTCGTGATTTTATCGAAAGATTAGTCAACGTTTTGCTTGGCGAAAATGTGGATGATGCCAGTGTTAACAAATTGTACAACGATGAAAAATGTAAGTTAACATACTGAAATAAACTACAATTTTGCAAACAACTATTGTCTCAAAATCGAAAATACATACGATCACAGTATTACCTCGCTTAACTTTTGGAGTAAAGCATTATTTTGGCTTTTAGTAACTCAAATTTTGTTTATTATTGTTATCGTTCACATTCACTACTAATACCATTAACCCCATCCATATTTGGCGTTTTCAGATGAGGATTTATTCAACAGGTATCATCAAGATCTCAGCAACGCTCTTACAGATTTAGGAACAGCATTGCAAATTCCTGTAGCTAGTAAGTTACTAAAAAACATTCAAATCTGTGCTTTGAATATATCACAGCCATTTGCACAGATGCACTATACGAATCAGCGATTTGACAGAAAAAATAGTCCACAAAACCGACATTACCGTCTTAAAGCATTTTTAAAAGCTTTATTTTGCACTCACTCTACACACCTACACAGTAGAATCAGGGTTGTAAAGATAAGGTTGTGTCACTTCATTTTTTGCCACGTACCTTGCACAGAATTATTTTTCAACTTAGGGCCTGGTGATGGCTCTTTTGATCAATCAATTCAATTTGAAACCTTTATTTTATATAAATTAATTTACATTTGGCTTGCATATAAACATAAAAAACAAAATATAATTTCTGTATACGTTTAAAATATAAAAACGAAGAGAATGATATACGTATACCTTTCCACGACCAATTATTATGGGGTATAATGCACACAACGCTTGAATTTTGGACGCTAAATTTGACGTCGATGGTTTGGCTAGATGACTGAATGTTCTACTTGTTCACTTCACTGATTTATTTTCCTCGTTGTTTTGAAGAAATTCTCTGTTCGCCTGGTCCAGGCGTATTGCCACATTGTTCTTCTGTAGCATCTTCTAAAGTATGTCATCTGAGATGCGGTCAGGACTTCAATGGTACTGCCCAGCTTTTCTATATATCTTCTTAAAGCACCTCTCTAATTTGAAAATGCCATTTTTACTTATATAAGTTCGTATATTATTAAAAGTAGAAACATTCCAGCTAAACCTAATGGTTGGAGACAACGTACGATTAATGCTCTTAGTAATTCTTTCTTTAATGGGGTATGTGCTTACCGTTTTATTAAGATTGAGCCCAAGATATTTGATGGTGGACATGGGCGGGGTTACGACTGTTCGCCCCCCATTTGCAACAAACTTAATCTGACTATACTATAACTATCTAAAACTGTAATGACTCATCGATGTTCACGTGAACATCACTTAACTACCAGTAGTCGGCTGTTCATAGACGGGGTATGAATGTTTAACATGGGTGAACTAGATTTGTCACATGCTTAATAAAGAGTGGTTTGAAACATATTGTAAGTCAAAAATTTGGGAATTACCTTTATTCATCGTCGCTTCCACTTACATCTGACAGTAATAAACTGTCGCTATCGCTTTCCTCGTTGAAATTGACTATGATGGTGTCGATGTGGTGGTCAAGCTGCCACATTTTTGTTTCTTCCTTCATAACATGACGGATTCTGCCAAGCTTCGGGCGTTACTAGCTGTATGGAAGTCTCAAGTAAAACCTTAACGTCTGGTAATTTGAAGGTTGTGTTATGGCGCGCAATATAACCCTTCACTTGAGCCCAGATGAGCTCTATTGGGTTCAGTTCACAGTGGTAGGGCGGTAACCGCAGCACAGTGACACCACATTGACGGGCCATCTCATCAGTCAGTAACTAATGTTCGCAGGTTTGTGCTGTTTAATTTTTTCATACAATTCCGCTTTCACACATGGATCGTCAAACGGGATTCCTTTTTCGCGCAACCATTGCTGCATGTCACTTTTTCGAGATCCCATAGCCGGTACATGTTCGGCTCGACGACTATGGTAGGAAGCATTATCCATGACGATCACAGAGTTGGGCTCAACTCGCTGAAGCACCCCTTGAAACCAGCTTTCAAAGCAGCTGGCATTAATTTCGTCATGGTAATCACCTCCTTTCTTAGAGACGAAAATCAAGTCACACTCTTCTAAAAAGCCACTATCGCTACCAATATGAGTTACGATCAATCTTTGACCTTTCCCTGACGGTCCACGAAGACCTGTTGACAAGCCTTCAATGCTTGCTTGTCGGTTACTCACTACATTTTTGTCTATCCAGGTTTTTTTAACTGTGTGACCTGCATTTACCCATGTCTCGTCCAAATAATAGATTTTTCTGCTTTGTCGCCTTTATTCAATCATTTCGCGTAGGTATTTTCGACGCCAGGCGACTATTTCAGGTCTCTCTATCAATACTGACTTCCGATTACGCGTTTCGTAACGAAAATTAATTTCGTGCAGGGATTTCCTCATTACCTCGACGCTCATTTGGGGTATAATTTCATTTTCCTTGATCGCTGCATGTACAGCCTTGAGGGTTGGTATCTCATTCCTAAAGAAGAATGAATGTACGGTTCGCCTTAACGCCATTTTGCTATCGTCATCCAATTTAACGGCCTTTCGTCCCTTCAAATTAAACTTTGGATCAGTAGTAGCTCCAGTTTTCTTCTTTTCATGCACCACCCTGCGAATGGTCCACTCTGGAACGCCTGTCATACTTTCACAACGCGCGAGTGCATCTCCCTGCGACATAGTTCTGTTCAGATAATTGAACACGTTGAGCACGATTTCTTTCGCGTCCCTCTTCAGTGCTTTACGAAGCCGTCTACTTGTTCCCTGGCTTTCAGTACTTCCAGTCGTGCCATTTGTACTCTCCATGGTTAAGTATAACCAAAACAGTAACCACAGAAACCACAACAATAACAATCACACAACAATTCTTGTAAAAACACACAATATGCGATCGCTCAACGAAACACGTTCCAATGCGTTGCCGACGCCTATGAGTCTGCCGGTCGAGGCGCGTCTTTGATTTCATTGGTTCTACCGGTGGAGAACAATCAGCCATTATTTCTATCTCTGTCTGTGCTGTTGACCACCGCAAAGCCACAGAAACGACATACGTCGTACGCTATACGGCTGTACTGGAAGGAAGCCAGGATCGAGCTCTGATCACGTGTTGATCACGCGTATGAGTCATTACAGTTTTAAATAGTTGTAGTATAGTGTACAAGTACGCTCCTACCAATCATAGTACTTAATTATTTCTTTCATTGTTCGCTTTGTTCTCATAATGGCTGTGTTTTGCTATTTAGACTCATTTAATACGCACAAATTACCTGCGTGTTTCTTCGCTTGTCCTGCGATGTTTTCTACTGTCAGAGCAGCAACATATACATAGATTCTACACATAGGGTCCGAAGATAGATCCTTGTGGTACTCCGCGCCATTTGTGGTATATTTTTGTTTTGATATGATTGTCTTCGCCATATATATGTCGGATGAGCAAATAATTTTCTATAATTTTGATCACATTGCTAGGAATGTCTGTCGGTTGTAACATAAGTAGAGCATAAATACTATGACAGACTCGAATGCTTTTGAGAGGTCAGTAGTAACTGCTCCTACGTGATGTCGCTGTTGTGATACAACCTTCTTTTATAACCTTGGGTAGCAGAACCACATCTTTTTAATTCATCCTCTATGAGCTTTTAGGATAACATCAAGTTTATTCTGTACATGAATACTGCTTATTGTCTATAGAATGTCGAGTTCTAAAGGTATTCGAAAAACAATGGACTTAAAACTCATTTTTTGTTCTAACCCAATCACAGTAATTTGTTAAGAGATGCTGCAAGCAATTTAAACATCAAACACCAAGCTAACGGCACTTTAAAATGTGATCTGACTCATCAATAGGAATAGATATCTACATTCATAAGGTGTGATATCACAAAACCGTTATGTATTTATACATTTTAATGTTGATCGACCGTACAGTCACTCATAAATGTTATCAGATTATTTGCATTGTTACTTGTTGTATGTTCTTCAATCTTGAAACTTATTACGTAGTTTGGTCACGGAATGACCCACATTATTGTATTCATACAGGGAAAGTAATTTTAAAACAAGACAGTTGATCATGGGTTACGCAAGAAAAAACATTGTCAAAGTCTGCAGGAAGAATTTTCTATATTCCTAATAACATCAAGTATTTGCCCCATGTCAATATGGCCACACCGTTTTTCTTTTCTTATCAAGGTAAGGATGCCCAATTCTGAAACTTCCTAACCTTTACACCTATTTGTGTAGTACCATTGCATGAATGAGGTAAGCAAGTGGAAAATTAATCGCCATAATGAAAATAACCTTTGAGTAAGATTATTTTGTTTTGGTCATGGTGCAGCAAAGCTTCCGTTTCACCTCGTAATTAGTATGCTTCATAAGTGGTCAGTGTTCATTGTTAACTAGTTGCACTCACAAGATCGGTAATTAAACGTGGTGAAAAATGGAAGATTCCACGACCAAGTAAATAACTGTCATTTTTTATATACGATCTACGATAAATTAACATTAAAGTGTCAGTGAATATTGTCAATGGACAGCACCGCTTGTCACGACCTTTTCGATGTTGCTGTCAATATACAGGGTGTAAACGTTACGATAGTCATTATTTAAATGGGTGATAGAGGGCAAAAAGTTTCATATAACATGGGTTTAAAAACGGCATTTTTTTAGAGAAAAGCGACTTTATAGTAAAATAAAATCTGACAGCGCCGCAATGCCAGACGCAAATTACGTAAATAAAGATGGAGTTTGTTATTTTTGGCTCTAAGGTATTATTTCATTATTTGATAATGTACTCGTAAAATGCAAACAATTAAAAAAACGGACTTACCACTAACTGTCTCAGCGCTTCACCTGGAGCGTGAAAGTTTATTGAACGTATGAAAAAAAAATCCACTTATAAATAGGCAACACAATTTTGATACATACATTGTTTTTCTTTTTAAAACCCACACTGCACTTTTTTGTATTTAAAGAAGGTGTTCAAAATGTCGTCCTCCACTTTCCACACAAGCTTCGTTACGACGAACCCAGTTTCTTCCTACTCTAGGTCCTC